CCGCTGACCACCTGGCCAGAGCTCCACCCTTGGAGGAGGCCTCTGGCGTCCTCTGCTGGCGGCTCAGCGTGATGCGGGGTGTGGCGGCCTGGGGGCATCCCAGCACCTGGCTGAGTTTCCAAAGCAGCCGGTGCACCAACCCTGGGTCAGGGTGTCCCAAGGGCCCAGTCTTGGGGTCTCTGCCTGATGGTCTGGGAGCTCAGGCAGGTTGGGCCTGGCGGGGCTGGGTTGGGAGGGCTGTCCCTTGGTAGGTGGACCACCAAGCTAGGCCCTGTCCCCAGGCCTGGAAAGCCCCGCTTAGCTGGGACAGGCCACACCCGGCCAAATCTGTCCAGCACAGCTGGGGAGTCAAGGGGAGCAGGAGTGCCGGGTGCCCTCTGGGTCACCTCTGAAACTTGACCACCAGGGCCTCATCTTCCCAGGAAAGAAAGGTCCTCTCTCCCCCCACCCCCCATCCCCAGGCCAGAAAAAGAAGGTGTGCCCTCTTGAGCCCAGGCAGGACCCCACAGAGAGGGAGATGGAGCCCAAGACCAGAGGGGAGGTATGGGGGTGATGTCCTTCCCTCTGGAAACCCACGGATCCCCCTAGTCCAGAACCACCAGGTCACAGGAACTCTGCCTGACAAGACCCCCTCTACCCTCAGAGTGGGGATGGGCAGCCCCAACTCCACCCGCTCTGGGGGGGCCTCGGCCCAGGGATGGCCAAACTAGAGCCAGAGGTCAAGGGCACCGTTGTTGCCAGGGTGGCGTGGGTTTTGGGGACATTGCCTCTGGGCTGGGTCTCTTATCTCTTAAGAGCCCCAGAACCTACACTTGCTCCCCCTCCCTTCCGCACCCCATCCACAGGTCACTAACTGCTCTGTCCCCCTCTGCCCACACTATGCTTCCTGGGCAGCTGGAGGAGGCCCAAGCCCTCTAGGCCCCGGGCCCCAGGCCAGGTCCCACTACCCAGGAGCTACTGGCTCCGAGGTGCCCTGGCCCCGCCTGTCTGCTCAGGCCTCTGGGCTCCCAGAAGGGGTTCCCCACCATCTCCCCAGAGCACACAGGGTAGGCGTGAAGACGCACTCTGCTTTCAACTTAAGGGCATCATCACTATCCAGGGTCCCTAGATTAGGGGGTACCTGAGTGCCACCCTCCCTGGCATCCTGGTGACCTCAGGGCCTGTGAGGCAGGCTTGGACCAAAACTAAGGCACAGACGGGCAGGCCACCTGCCCAGAGCCCCAGAGCAGGGGAGGGGCTGGGTTCAAATGCAGTTTGGTCTGATTCACCGCTTACCTCCCTACCTCCTGCTCCAGACTAGTCAAGCAGGGAAGACGGAGGTGGTGGTGCCAACCCCAGTGGGGGCGGGGCTACAGAGGGGCAGGCTGTGGGCAGAGGGGATCGTCATGCTGGATGAGGGTGGAGCTGCCCCTCCAGCACCAGCTCTGTGCCCAGCTGTGCACAGCAGAAGTCCCACGAACAAGGCCTGTCTCTGTCTTGGGGACAGGCGTGTCTTTGTGGCCCTCTGCTGAGCAGTGGCCTTGGCTCCCAAGCCCACTCAGGCCGGACCATGCCATTTGTGAAGAGCTTTTTCTTTTTTCTTATTTTTTTTAAAAATAACTTTTTCAAAATACCTGATTCACCAAGAGGTTGATGCTGGTGCAGAATGACCCTCACAGCCGTGTGGAGCTGCAGGTCAGGACAGGGGACACCTGGACAGGGCACTGCTGGGCAGGGACTCGCCAGCAGGGAAGGACTCATGGCGAGGGGGTCCCAAGAAGGTGGCCCTGTGTTAAGAGAAATGGCACAAGGACCCCTGCGGTCCCCACAAGGGCTCCAGAGCTATTAGGCTCATGTGAGAGGTAGAACTATCAAGTTCACGGAAGCAGATATGAGCAGTACCTGTGACAAACTTGACCAACAACTTCCTGTACGAAACTTCAAAACGAGGGGACGAGTTTGTACTCATCAAATTCAAAACTTGCATTCACCAGGGGTGACCGGTTAGCTCAGTTGGTTGGAGTGTGGTGCTGGTAAAACCAAGGTTGCCGGTTCGATCCCCGCATGGGCCACTGTGAGCTGCGCCCTCCCTAAAAGAGTCAACTATGCCATTGTAGCATGAAAGCGATGTGTAACCAATGACCGTGGCTGTTCCCCAATAAAATAAAATAAAATAAAAAAGACGCATTCACCAGAGGACCACAAGGCCGGCTGACGCGGTCAAGGCAAGTGGAGCAGACACCCAGGGCAGCAGCTGAGCCGGTGGGTCCTCAGTCTCTGGGGGGCCCAAGACCCTTGACGGGGGGCCCTGAGCTCTAAACCAGAATCATAACACAGAAGTGCGTTGTAGGTTGAATTGTGCCCCCTGCCAAATTCATGTGCCATAAGGTCATTGGTTTGGGCCCTAATCCTGGCGTCCTTACAATAAGGAAACCTGGACACATGCACGTGGACATCATGTGAAGATGGAGGCAGAAATGGGCATCTACACGACAAAGCGCATCAGAGGCTGCCAGCACACCACCGAAAGCCGGGGAGAGGCCCAGACCACGCTCTCCCCCGCAGCCCGAGGGACCAGCCCTGACCTTGGACTCCCAGACTCCAGGGTTGGGGAAAATAAACACCTGGTGTTTAGGCTGTGCCGTTGATGGTGCTCTATTATGGCAGCCACAGGAAACTAATCAAATAATCAAAGTGACGTGCCTGTCCCACTGGGCTCACGCCTGCAAGAGGGTGCAGAGCCCCGTGGGGGACGCTGTGGGCCCCTCGGCAAGGACCCCGGCGTGGCCCCTCCTCCCCACCACAGGCTCCCAGGGGAAGACACGCCAGAGCCCGTGGGGTGTCCGGGTGGATCAGCGATGCTCCCCACTTACTATCACCTGTCCTGGCCCTGGGGGGGGGCTGCCACCCCAGGAGGCGGCCTCGTGCGATGGCCAAGGCGGGACTCTCTGGTCGTTCACACCTGGGTCCTCCCAAATGGACTGGGGACACTGTCACTTCAAGGATAACAATGGACAGTCTTAGTTGCCTTGATAAACTCTAGCTTTTGAGTGGAAATTAGAATTTTGGAACCTGCCACCCAAGTGGGACAGCTTCCTGACTGCCAGATGGTTGTGACAGGTGCCCGGTGACGGTGATGTGAGTGATTGTGGCGAGACAACCTTATTGGGAACGGATGTGTCTGCACGCAGGATGTCTGTGACTCAGGGAAGGACAGTGCAGGCTGCTCCAAAGTCACCTCAGGCCAGAGACCCTCCACACAGCAAGAGGGACCAGGGTCTTCAGGGGACAGCGGTGATGAGTGCACTGGTGGTCCCTGTCCCAGATCGCCCCTTGCCCTCAGGGAACTGCCACTTATCAGGGTTTGATTCCTATCAAAGGAGAAAGTCCACAATTACCCGAAAGGGTGAGGATCCTGCCTGTTCCAGCTACAAACCTGGGTGAAGCTGGGTTTTCCTCATCAGCTAAGGTGGTGTCACCCACAGATGGGCCGCCGGACGCCAAGGAGGTGTCACAAACCGGGGGTGATGCCACTCTGCTCACTAAATTGGTTTTGAAAGCAATGACTCGGGCCGGCCGAGTGGCACGTTGCTTAAGAGCTGGCTTGGGACCCCAGCTCTGAGCATCAGGGCCCCAGTTCAGATTTCACATGAGGGCCAGTAACGCTGTGCCCTCTACAGCTAAGATGGTGAACAACAGCTCTACCTGGAGCTGGGCTGCTGTGAGTCACCAGCATCAGCGTAGGCTGCAGTGGGGCTGCAGTGGGCTGCCATAAGCTTCCATGTGTGGCTGAGAGCCAGCGTGAG